GAGGTACTACTCTTCAATTTATAGCAAAATCATGTGTAATTATGACACTGACTATATATGGTGTATGGAAAAATAAAGCAAAGTTGTTAAAATTTTACAGCAACTGGGATTCAGAATCCCAAACTAAAAATATTTGAACAAGGCAAAATTGGGAAACCCTGATTCTATCTTGTACTTGTGATTCCGGCAGTGGTAGAGTGATAAGATACCAATTTCAGGATCGCTCGTGAGAGAAAACGGAAAACAGATTAATGCCGATTTAAAAATGGGAGAGGCGTGTGATTTCAGCAGCAGTTGGCTGAACAGATTTAAGCAGAGAATGGTATATGTTATCTGAAAGCTGATGCGGAAAATCGTTCTGTAGAGAAAGCTGCGTATTTATTGATGAATGCGGAATTTATTGATGAATTTTCTGCACTGGTGCAGAAGAAACTCTTAACCCAGACCTGATTTTTAATATGGATGTGACTGGAGATTTTTGGTAAAGTTTGCCAAGAAAGACATTTGTAACAAGCAAAGAAAGTGCACCATCATCAGTGAGCAAAGCTAAAGAAAGAGTTACTATTTTAGTATGCAGCAATGCATTTGGAACTTACAAATGTAAACTGATAGAAACCACCAATTCCAGAGCTCTAAAAGGAGTTAAAATGTTTACTTGTGATTTACAGGAATAACAAAAATTCCTGGTTCACAAAACAGCTTATGACCGAAGGGAACATTCATTAAAGAGACTAGAGTGCATTGTAACAGTTTCGGGTTACCATAAAACTGCAAGATTTTCTTTTGTTAGATAACTGCTTTGCACATCCAAATGCAACCATTTTAATAATGGTAATGTCGTGGCCCCCACTTTTTTTGGCCCCCAAATACATCATTGATCCAACCATAATCTTGGACATAATATACAAAATTAAATGCCACCACAAATGGGAATTTCTGAAAAATATTCTTCCAAGAGACCATTTTATTTCAGTTGATGATTAAAAAAAAAGTTACTGTCATTGACTGCATCTGTTGGTTATCAAATTCATGGAATTCTGTTTCCCTGAAAACAAACAACATTAGTAAATAGCTGTCATAATATATAACCATCATCTCTGTTTTTTGCAACTGAGAGCAATGGCAGTGAATTTTCTGGTTTTAGGGTCAGTGCAGCAAAGCTCAAAGCAAGAGAATTGCTTCTATATTTGAAAAAAGGAACAAATGAGGAGGCTTTTCAAGAAGAAGATATCGTTAAATGGATGATATATTCAGATGAGTCAACATTGGCATATCAGATGATCGATGAGGAAATTATTGGCTCTGTTGTTGTGAATTTGATATAGCAAGAAAATGATTCCAGTAACAACACAGATGATGAATTTATTAGGAATGAGAAAATATCTTTTATGAAGGTTGGGACATATGCAAAATATCTAAAATTTTTGTAAAAACAGAGCTGTGCCTGTTTTGCAGAGCAAAAGGTTATGACTTTATAATTTACCCCCACCCTCCAAAAGTTTTAAAACAAACCTCTATCAAAAAAATGGGGGTGGGGCATTTATGCTTTATTAATATTAGTTTCATATCTCTTTATTGTATATGTCCTTATTATTCTAACTTTGGCATATAGTATATTAGCAATTACTTATTATTAGTAATTACTGACTAGTTTTGCTGTAGGATTGAATCTATGGATATATGAACCCTTTGCGACCTATCTGCTCTACTAACTGTAATGAAATTTCTGTATTGTTATTTGAAAATGTATGCACTCAAGATTGTGATTATTTAAAACAATAGAGCTCATGGTTACAGTTACAATGAAAAAATTTTTGAATGGCAACATCCAATTTTTTTCTGTGCAAATGTATGAACACATTGAAAAACCATAAATGGTGGTGTAGTGATAAATGTATAATGAAAATCGCTGGCATAAAACATTTGCAAAGAACAGCAAACAATACAGATAAGAGATGCATGGATGCACTTTGCACAATTCGTAGGGATAGACAGTAGAAGCACCAGTCAGAAACGCCACGTGCAAAGCATTGTGTATGGAAAACTTTTAATGAGCAGTGTGGAAGATTCAGTTCATCAATTAAGTCAATTTCAAATTCGAACAGTCAAGAATTCCCATTTGTGGTGGCATTTAATTTTGTATATTATGTCCAAGATTATGGTTGGATCAATGATGTATTTGGGGGCCAAAAAAAAAAGTGGGGGCCACGACATTACCATTATTAAAATGGTTGCATTTGGATGTGCAAAGCAGTTATCTAACAAAAGAAAATCTTGCAGTTTAATGGTAACCCGAAACTGTTACAATGCACTCTAGTCTCTTTAATGAATGTTCCCTTCGGTCATAAAGCTGTTTTGTGAACCAGGAATTTTTGTTATTAAGTGTTAGCATGATGACACTTACGAGGAAACTATGAGATGAATTGATAAAGCTGTTTTATATGAATGGGGAAAATGCTGCTAAAGCAGTGTAAATTTATTGTGGAAATCATAAGCTGAGAAGATACTCATGTTCTGTAAAAATTGTATGTGATTTGGTAAAAAATTTGAAGAAAGTTGTGTGATAGGATTCGATCTGGATGACCATATGAAACCACAGTGCTGGAGGTTCTGCAGATGTTTCTGTATTGATTCCAGCACATCCAAATGTTGGAACTTGGACACAAGCAACATCATCTTCACATTGTGAATTTTTTTCCTCATCAGGTATGATGAAGATAGCAGGTGGCTATTCCATATATTATAAAGAAATGAGGCACCTTTCTCCTTAACTGGGAATGTAAACTCCACAAAAAGGGGGTGAAAATGTATTCTATTTCCCTTCCTTTTTAAGCGACAACCGCTTTTTAAAGGTTAAGCTGGTTTTATTGTTTTAATTTTCAAAATTCGAGAATGCTGCTAATTGTTGTAAGCCTGATTAATAATAGTTGTTTAAATTCCTGATCTGAAATTGTGTTAATTTTTTGAAGTCATCTTCAATATTTTTTAAATATATTTTTAAGAGAGACATTCAGTAAGTACTAAACTTAAATATATTGTAATAATCTGAGAGATGATGAAGGTGGTAGAATGATTGCAAAATCAGAAAAGGAAAGCATAGACATCAGGTGTTATTTGCTTTTTAAGGGTCTGTTGAGTGTTGTCAGATAGTACTGAAAATGTGTATATCCTTTGGTGAACAAGTTCTTACAAAAGAAGACAATATTGACAAATATTCATGAATGCATAGTTCTAGTCTTTGGCAATTACTATCTACATTACTATTAAGGTTACTATTAGAAAGGTAGGTTGAAATGTCCAGACTTAAATAGAAGGCTGCAGTTTTTAAAGTTACACTTTTCAAACCTTCTTCCACACCCCCCCCCCAAAAAAAAACCACCTTCTCTAACAGTTTGTTAAAATGTATCTATGAAAATAGTTTGTCATTTTATGCACAAAAAACATTACAAATAATGAGGTTTGTCATTTTAATTTTCAAAATTTTATTAACATTTTGAAAGTTGATTGAATTTACCAAATATCATATCAGGAGAGCACAGTTTTATTGGCAGTATTGTAGCTGACCGTAGAAATTCTGATATTTTGCATGCATATAATGGAAGTTTTTGAAAAATTACTCAAAGCATGGCAAAAATATTTCTCTTCAAAGTTTTGCATTATATTTTAAAAAATGACAAATAAGTTTCATGTTTCCATTTTAAAACTGTGTAGATACATTAGATATTTTTTTGCAAGCAGGCAAGATGAGAAATGAGCAATCGGTTTCGCCGGGAATCGAACCACGAACCTCTGGAATATCGGCCCAGTGTGCAGACCACCACACCACGAAGGCACGCCAAAAATGTGGGAGAAATACCTTATATACTCCCCCTTTTAAAGGGCAACTGGGGTTTTTAGGGGACCCAATCACCAAATCCTGGATGGGGAGAAATCATCATCCACACCCTTTTAGTTTGGGCACCACATGTAGGATTCTCCGTTGTGTAATTCTCAGTTGAAGGTGAAGAATGTTAAGAACTAGTAAGTGAGTAATCACTTGAGTTCGTGTACAGGAAGCAACATGTAAAAAGGGTGAAATAATCCTTTATTATTCCAATCAAGTGTAACAAAACTCCATTTTGGAGTTGTACAATAAAGCCAACTCTTGGACTTCAACTTAAGAGACTAAGAATTAAACTAAATATTATAGAGACATAGCCAGAGCTATCAAAATTCTAACAGAGTTGGCCCCTTAACGCTAATTGACTGCGAAGCTATCAAGGGCCTATAGTACGGCAAAGCGTAATAATAGCTTACGAGAGAGTAGCCTAAAAAGGCAGATGCATGCAACCAGAATATCTGGTATCTCTCTTACTAAGACAGAAGAACCGTGATGAAATGCCGCTCTACCTCATTAGCATTCAGACGTGATTCTAAAACTACATTCTGCATTCTTGTAAGTCAAAATTAAGAATCGATAGGAAAGGAAGTTTAACTCAAAATTTAACTGTTAATAAAATTAACATAATCCTCACAACTGCTGTAATTCTCCCAAATATGCTCTTAATGTTTCCTGTTTCATCATATTTGCTATCAAATGTTGTAATTAGACTGCAAGGTGCAATAATTTATCATGCCTTATTTGGATTATTTTCTTATGTACCAGTGACATTTTTCTCAAACTATAGTTTAAAATTTGTTCTGTGCATTTCAATTTTGAATTTCTTTTTAGGTAGTGATAATTAATTCTCTCTCTATATATAATGATTTTCATGTTTATGGAGGTACTGTCAGATTTTCTCATAAGCTGACTTATTTGTTCAATACTGTGCACATCAGTTAAATAAAAATATTTGATATTTCTTTGTAATAAAAATATTATTAGTTTCTTTTTTAGTTTAAATTAATTCATGCCACCTGAGTTCATTTTTGAGCAGACAAGTGTGACTTAAAATAACAGTGAAGTGTAGACTCTAAGCATATACTTCCAGTATATAGTTATGTTTTTTTCTCCCTTTCAGGTTCCTGTGAAGTTTAGGTACCCATTTTATACTGAAATCTTATGGTATGTCGTTCAGAGATTTGTTCATTGCCTTCTTGGGAAGAACTATCTTATCTGTAATGAAAGTGGAGAATTTTTAGATCCTGCCAATGAACCTTCTTCTGATGCCTTAAATTTGACTACAGCGGCTGATAAAGACCCAAAGCTGTTGTCACTTACTCATAATCCTGTTCATATGAATGGAGAAAACTTCTCCTTTCCATTCAAAGGCGTTGGGGAAGGTTTATTTCATGAAAACAGTGTTCCTAAAGTGGATACATCATCTGATATTCATGCAGAAACAAAACTAGCCCAGCATGGTCTGGAATTTAGCAGTCTGCCACTTGAAAATGCTCAGAAAAATCCTTCAAAGGAACATATTCATATTACGAAGTTAGAGTATAATGGTTTAAAGGTATGAATATTTGCATTGTTATTTTTTTAAAATTTATTTAACCCTTTTAATGCTATTGACTCATCTTAATTGCAATCATCCATTTATAATTTACCATCATTATCATTTATACATTTATAATGGTAATGTCACTGGCCGTGAATTTTAATGCTATTCCTTTAAATCGTAATGGCACTGACCTTGAATTTTAATTCTATACCTTTAAATGGTAATGGCACTGGCCATGAATTTTAATGCTATTCCTTTTTGATTTGCTTCTTTAAAAAGACGGAGATTTGTTTTGATATGTTTTGAATGAAAAAAGAGGGGGTGGCAAACTTACTAATACTGCAGCCAGTTGACTTACTGAATCATTAAAAGGGTTAATTGAATGCTAAATATGAATTTGATATTGCCTTTCTCAGACTTTTAACTTAATTTTTAAAAAATTTTTAGGCAATTCTTAAATGGCTTATTGGGTTGCCCCCATCTAAAAAAGGTGTTCCTAGTTATATTCGAGATCCAGATGGTCTTTTGGAAGATTTAAAAGTAAGCTGTACAGTTATTTTTCTTTATTATTCTGTTTGAGCCATTAGAAAAACTCATTATTCTGAGATTCTTGATATCCATATTTATGAATATACTATCAACAGCCGTGTTCAGGACAGTGTTCGGTATAAAATGCGTTGAGTTACGAGAGATAATGGCACTGGTCCCAAAATAAAACTAAGTTAGGCCACTCACAAATATTTAATTATTTACATAATGTACAAAGTTACAAGTTAAGTGCTCCATTAGCACAGACAAAGTGTAACGAGCAAACGCACCATAGGTCCGCTGCGTACATTCTTTAACAACCAACTCAACTAAATTTGGCTCCTCTCACAAGAAGGCGCTATATTAAACCGAATATTCTGGCCCCCATTGAAACAAGTTTCAATAATGCCGTAGAAATTTACAGTCAAATTCAAATTTAAACATACATATGAAATACAATTTAAAACAAATTATTTCAATTACAATTAAATTCAGTATCATATAATAAGAAATAAAAATGTCACACATAAAAAATATTACACTTGCACTAAATGAATAATGTAATAATATCCATTCATAATATGGAAATTTTATATCTGATAGTTGTCTGGTGGTATGGGCAAAATACTTAATTTTGTGACTGGCCTTTTAAAGAGACCCTTTGCCATGCGTACACTAACTACTCTAACTCTTTTATCGAATCCGGTTATAACTTCTTCAACTCGACCTAAAACCCAGTGACAAATAGGCAAATTGTCTTCCTTCACAAGCACCACAGTTCCTGATTTAACGTTATCGTTTTTAAATTGCCATTTCGTTAGCTCATGAAGTTGCGATAAATAATCCTGTTGCCACCTTTTCCAAATATTTTGAGTCATTTTGGTGTTTCCCATCTAGACAATCTGTTGTCAGACTTTCTAATTTCTGGTTCTGCAGGGGCTGTTATAGAATGGCCAATTAAAAAATGTCCAGGCGTTAACGCATTAAAATCCCTTGCATCTGAAGAGAGAGGAGAAATTGGTCTGGAGTTTAATATTCCCTCTATTTGTGTTACTAAAGTTAAAAATTCTTCAATAGTTAATTTTGAATTCCCAACCATTTTTTTTTAAATGCACTTTGAACGATTTAATGCCCGCCTCCCAAAGCTCACCAAAATGTGGAGCTCTAGGGGGTATACATTTCCACTCAATCTCCTCTGACAACAAATAGTCGGATAATTCTTGTTCTGGTGCTGTGTCTAATTTAAACAGCTTGCTTAATTCATTTTGAGCTCCACGAAGGTTTGTAGCGTTATTGCTAAATATGGTCGAGCTTTTCTCTCTCCTAGCGAAAAATCTCTTTTGGGTAGCAGTTAATGCTTCCGAAGATAAGTCTGAGACAATTTCTAAGTGAATTGCTTTTGTAGCAAGGCACACAAATACTGCAACATACATTTTTAGAAAAACTCTTTTTCTTTGATTTTTTTGCCTTTATAAGAAACGGACCACAAAAATCGAGTCCACATTTGTTAAAGGTTGATTCAACTGACACTCGTTCAGCAGGCAGATTACCCATTATCTGATTTACTGGTACAGGTCTGTGTTTGAAACACTGTACGCATTCATATACTATTTTTCTAGCAAGATTCCTGCCGCTGATAGGCCAAAACTTTTGTCTAACAGTACTCGATAGAGCTTCTGGTCCAAGATGCAAATATTTCAGATGATAATAGTACATGATCAAATAAGTCAACCTATGTCTAGCTGGCAAAATGATTGGATATTTACAATCATAACTTACCTGAGATTGTGCAAGTTTGCTACCGACACATAAGATTCCATCATTATTGATGAAGGGATTTAACGATTTAAGCTTGCTCCTACGAGGTACCTGGCTATCCCTCTTAAGTGACTCAATATCAAAATAAAACTCACCTTTCTGCACTTCCCGAATCAATTTTAACTCGGCTTTTTTCCGTTTGTCTAAGGATATAGGCTCTGAAACCCTTTCCTTATTCTTAATGATTCTGAAGAACCTAAAAATAAAACTACAAATTTTGATTAATTTCATATAATTATTTTTTCGATTTAAGAGAGAGGTTAAACTAGAATTATTTTCTAATATTGCAAAATTAGAGTCTGATAAACGTTTTAGTTCCTTGACTAGTCGTTATCAGTGGTAGGCTCAAGAGGTTGTTCTGGATAATGCACATCCTCACGGAGAAGGTCTGGTCCATTTCACCTGATTTCACACTTAAGAATGTCACTGGCATCCAGTCCACGCGATATGACATCAGCTGGGTTACATTCAGATGGCACATATTTCCATGGGTATGACCACGTAAGCTCTTTTATTATTATTTACTCACGAAAGTTTTTAGTAAGTGTGGTGATTTTCTAATCCAAGTAAGAGAAATCGTAGAATCAGACCAAAGAATTACTTTTTCTACTTTAACATTCAATGAAGATATCACTTTATCCATCAATCTGGATAATAGAAGGCAACCTGACACTTCCAATCTAGGAATTGATAAGGTTTTTATAGGTGCAACTTGTAACTTGCTACACAAAAGTCGAACGGTTGGCAATCCTGAAACTGGTAAATCTTAAACAAAGATTGCAGCTCTGTATGCCAAAGATGATGCATCTGCAAATCCATGGAGCACTATGTGATTTTCCTGGAATACAAATCTAGGAATCTTAAGATTACTTAGTTCAGAGAGCGTGGATATGAAATTAATCCACTTCTTGGCCATAGAATCTGGCAATGTGTCATTCCAATTTAGCAAGCCAGAGCTTTCGCATGAATATTTTGGCCATTGTGACCACTGGCCCAATTAAACCAAGTGGATCGAACATTTTCGAAATTAGTGACAGAATATCTCATTTACTATAACTGTTAGAGTGAGGAATGGTCATTGTAAACAAAAAACAGTCAGGCTGAGGATTCCATAGGACACCAAGAGTTTTTACAGACAAAGATTCCTGTTGCTCTGCAAAAGTGTATTCCGAATGAGCGGTAACATTATTTTCAGACACAAGCCGATCTGGATGATTTGCGTGCCATTTATGCAATTTCGTTTTTCCTAATTTTAACAAATCTATTAATTGGGATTGTAGAATCTAGCCCCCCCACCCCCTCCCCCCCCCCCCCCCCCCCCCCCCCCCCCCCCCCCCCCCCCCCCCCCCCCCCCCCCCCCCCCCCCCCCCCCCCCCCCCCCCCCCCCCCCCCCCCCCCCCCCCCCCCCCACCCCCCCCCCCCCTTTTTAGTTTTGGCTTCATCTTACAACGTTTAGATTGTTGCTAGATAGGGACGTTTGCGTCCCATACGTTACTGGGTTGAGTGTTTTTTTTTTTTTTTTTTTTTTTTTTTTTTTTTTTTTTTTTTTTTGTTTTTTTTTTTTTTTTTTTTTTTTTTTTTTTTTTTTTTTTTTTTTTTTTTTTTTTTTTTTTTTTTTTTTTTTTTTTTTGTTTTTTTTTTTTTTTTTTTTTTTTTTTTTTTTTTTGTTTTTTTTTTTTTTTTTTTTTTTTTTTTTTTTTTTTTTTTTTTTTTTTTTTTTTTTTTGTGTTTTTTTTGTTTTTTTTTTTTTTCAATTATAGTGTGGTTAATTTTTTTTCTATTTTTTTTTTTTTTTGTTTTTTTTTACTTCCTATTGACTTCTGAGCAATTAAAGTTTGCACTGGTTCGCAGTCTTTTTGAGGATACTAGAATATACATTTTTTGTAATCTGCTGTGAAGGCGTACGATGTTTTCTAAATCTACATTATAGCAAATTCCTGCTGTGGAATTCTTCCTTTCAACAAAATATCGTTTAATGACAATCCCGATGTCATGGTGTACTACTTTTGTCTTGTACACATTTATGGTTTCAGATCCCTCAAATAGTTCCATATGCTTTAAATCCTTGTATTCTTGCATGAATTCTGAGTACAATCGTTGTAAACTCAAGTTCCGACCCAATCACTGCCAAACCTGATTAAATTTTTCTACTAGATATCTAGACTCGCCCAACAATTCAGAGTCCTTCCTGGGCATGCATACGACATACTGACCTTCCGAGGTTCGATAATGAGTTTCGTTTAAATGTTTTTTGCAATATTTCTCTTCAGGACTAAGTGAAATTATATTTTCTACCTCCCAGAATTTTTTCAGTGTTTCTTCAATTTTTTCATTTTGCATAAGCAGGCCACAGTATTGTGGTTCAAGTGGTGAATTATGCACAATATCACTAACTACGAATCCAAAAACTGTTTCCTGGAACAATAAGTCTTTTGTACTTAAGTCTTTTGTCGCGCTGTGAACTTGATCCGATTTTAATAAGTCAAACAAACATTGTGCACGCAATAATAAATCAATTTCCTCAGGTGTGTTAAATCTGTAATCAGCTAAGGAAATATCCCTGGGGATGTCAATATTTTCAATAGGTATGGGGGTAAGGGGAGTCATTTCTGTAATTTGGGAACAATAAAAAAAATCAAGTTCTCTAGAGAATGTTTTTTTCCTTATTCGCAATTGAAGTCCTTAATTTATAATTTAAAGTAATATCAGTTCCATTTAATCCTGAAATCGGAGCGATAACCTTTGCATACCTGCCAACTTTTACGAATTTTTCGTAATTTTTACGAAAATGCGTTTGTCTTTACGATTTTACGATCGTAATCCATTTTTTACGATTTTTTTCCTTTTTCAAGTATTTTTAGTGATTTTCGTCGAAATTTTAGAATTTTTTCGCCAATCAGTGACTTTTGCCAATTGCATCGTGTGTTTACCGCCAACTACCGACTACTTCGAATCCATACCTGCGGTTTCTCCCAACTCGCTGCAACCACCATCCAATGCGCTGAACTTGTGGGCGCCAGATTATTTTTTTCGCGTTTGCTTCACCAGCAAGGCAATTACTGAGCTCGGACTCAGCGAGCATGGATTGTCGAATTCTGTTCCCACGTGCTACGAATTTTCTTAATACCTCGTTGTTACAAAATAAGTTCAAAAAAACCGTATTCTCAATATTTTCGCTGCCTACAAAGCCAACA